GAAAGAGTTTAATGGAGCAGGCGGAGAAAACAACCCATCTTCACGGAGAGCAGGAACATTTCCCTCTCCTTCAGAGACGTTTTCCTGGTGTGTCTGATGACAACCAGCTCAAGCACCCTCCGGGGCAGGCAGGGAGCCCAGTCCCACACCTGTGGGGGTCTCCTGAGTGGGGCTACACGTGTGCCCCGTGCCTCCCGCAAAGCCCGAAGGAGGAACCGTCCCCTTCCCCTCCCGAGGGGCTGCACAGCGGGACGGGCTGGTCCTGGCATGGGAAGGCAAGGGCTGGTTTCATCTCCCAGCCGCTCAGGGAAGAGGACTCCGTTTGGTCTCAGGGCCGTACTCACCACGAAGGTGTCGTAGGAGAACTTGTGCCTGTGGAGGAGGTGCTGGAGGAAATTGGCGCTCTTGTAGCTGGGGTCCCCCCAGGGCATGGCTGAGCAGACGGGGCACACCTGCAGCGGCAAGGAGAAAGGCGGAACCGTGATGCCAGGGCACAGACCCCTCTGCCTCTATCTCCCCCGGGGTGGCTGGCACAGCCACAAGACGAGGGAGAGACGAGCAGCGGTCTCCCCTCTCTCACAGAGGGTGTCCTGCAGAGGATACGCTAAATAAGGGGGGCCTCCCGCCCCCCTCAGCGGATCCCTTGGCGCTCAGAGCCTCTGGCACGTGGCCCAGGCTGCTTTTAGCCCGCTGATAAGTTCCTTGCTCATGCACAAGCGCCTCTGAGACGGTGCCAGAGATACAAGTTCCCCACCTCGGTCAACCCAGCGGGGATGGGGAGAGGAAATCCTGCACCACCCGGGTTGCAGGCACAGGGGGATGCAGGTGGCTCGTTCCCGAGAGCCTCTAGCAAAGCAAACAGAGGCAGGTCCCCACCTCCCATCAAAGGGATTTAAAGCAAACTAAATGAGCTGGAAATACAGCCACGCTTCACGTGGAGCAGCAGCTCTGTGTGCCGGTGGCCTCGGATGCAGCATCAGCTACGGTGTATTTGGATTTCCAGGAGTTACCCCGCAGAGAACCAGCCCGTCCCAGCGCCCCAGTGTCGCTCACCACTTTGTTGGGGTCGTTGCGGTGGTTCTCCATGCAGTGCTTCACCAGCTCCTGCTGGTCCAGGTTCCGGGCCCCGCAGTACGGGCACACAAATGTCGAGCGATTGGGAATATTGCTAAAGAGAGCAAGGATGAGCTCAGATCCCCTGGGAAGGGACCGGCTCGACTCTTTCCAAACTAACCCAGCCATCCCCTGCTCAGCTTTGTGATACCCACCCACCGCAGAAACCAGACCAGCCCGTTCCCACCCCAGCCGCGGGCTGAACCGGCCCGGTTTGGGTGGGCCTT